ATTTGACTTTCGCAGGAGACTGTAGAGAAAGCTGAGGATAGGAAAATATCTACACAAATATACTGACAGTAGCTGTGAGCATGTGGAGCTTACATTCTTGTGTGCAGTGTATGATGTCTGACAGAGACTGCTCATTTCACTTCTTGGAAGTGGGGGGTGCGGCTTATATATTTGCATGTAATACTGTTCTTTCCCACGCTTGCAACCTAAGCGTAGCTGGGCCGATTTCGTGGATCGGCGGCGAGGAGTACACATCAGACCAAACCTGCACCTTGCTTCTCGGACTTCACATCGAGTGTAAGGACTATTCTGGCATCATCAGGGTGTGAGTTACATTACCCCATCGATATTTTAACGTTAGACATCATTCAAGAGAATAAGATCGAAGCTAGCCTACACGACGATATTTATTTGTTTAGTGATTTTTCTAAATAAAAAAAAGAAAGAAAGAAAAAAAGAAAAACACAAAAAACGAAAACTAAGCACTGTCGCAATTATTAATTATTACTGATAAGCACTTGTCAGATAATCTACGTTCTTTTTTTAATCGTTATCACCCTACAGCAAGGCAGTAAAGCCACTATGACCATAAGGAGTGGCAGGGTGTGAAAGAAACAATAATAATGAGCGGGAAGAGGAAATGAGTAACCAGGAAGAGTGTAGATAGCGATTGACATTACATTTAAATTTTTGCAGATTAAATTTGACCGGAAAACAGTCGGAAGGGAATCCCACAAGCGAGAAAAGAAACTGTTAGCATAGAATTTACGGTAACATCTAGCCAGCTCAACTATAAATTGATGAGATTTCAACCCCAGTCTAGTATTTCGCTTAATTTTTTTTTAAAGTCTAGGTACTGTAGCGGAGAGCTCATCCGCACAATTGCCATGAAAGTATTTATAGAAACCTTAAGTCGGTGGGAACGTGACTGAAGCCGAGCCATCAGATCAGGACCAATAATATTGCTGATCCTTCTTTGGATTCAATATTCTGTTTATGAACGAATGGTAGACGTATAGATACGCAAGATAGATTCTTCGCGTGGATGAATGGTAGACGTATAGATACGCAAGATAGATTCTTCGCGTGGATGAATGGTAGACGTATAGATACGCAAGATAGATTCTTCGCGTGGATGAATGGTAGACGTATAGATACGCAAGATAGATTCTTCGCGTGGATGAATGGTAGACGTATAGATACGCAAGATAGATTCTTCGCGTGGATGAATGGTAGACGTATAGATACGCAAGATAGATTCTTCGCGTGGATGAATGGTAGACGTATAGATACGCAAGATAGATTCTTCGCGTGGATGAATGGTAGACGTATAGATACGCAAGATAGATTCTTCGCATGGATGAATGGTAGACGTATAGATACGCAAGATAGATTCTTCGCATGGATGAATGGTAGACGTATAGATACGCAAGATAGATTCTTCGCATGGATGAATGGTAGACGTATAGATACGCAAGATAGATTCTTCGCATGGATGAATGGTAGACGTATAGATACGCAAGATAGATTCTTCGCATGGATGAATGGTAGACGTATAGATATGTAAGAAATTCTGGAGAGAAAAATTGTCTCGCACGACACTGTGGCAGACGTGATGGGACAGAACCTGGGACGAGCACAGCTGGTTGCGACTTGCCTTGTCCCCACCAAAAAAGAGCCCGTATTTGCTTAGCATGTAAAGCTACTGCAGTTGAAATGAGGGAGAAAAAAAGCACTTACCGCTCTGCCGTAACGTAAAAGAATGAGGGTGGACTTGCATTGCATTTTTATGCAATAAAGATGCAATGAATTATGGGACAGGGGCGCAATGAATTATGGGATCGCATTAAGATGCAAGGGATTATGGGTATATGGACAAATATAAAAGCAACTAATTTTTCCCAGTGCGGCGTGCTTTGAGTGACGTTCACGGTTGGCGGCTAGAAAAGTCTGTTAGTGCGATTTTGAGACAGAACTCAAGAAGGAACGACTCGAGGTTGGAATACCAGTTGGGAAAGCTTGAATTTACTCGCTGGTTGCTGTTTTCTTTTTATTCGCCACAGACACCGAACCAACTTTCTTAGCAGCTGACCTAGCAATGGATTAAAAATGGTTTAATTCGATTTTGCAATTAAAACTACTCTCATAGGTTCGGAAATTACAAAGTAATCGATATTGACTACTGAGGGCCGATACGACACTTCAGAAGGTAGTTTTTTTATTCTAGAATTCACCTAAGAGCCGCTCAAGGTAGAAGATTACGCTCGAAATTGTAATCATGAATGAAGTGTTTGATATGAATTAAAGAGGAGCTGGTAGGAAGTAAAGTTTCTTAGGATAAGGAGGACAGATAAAGATTAACTCTTAACTTGAAGATATTAAGATTGTAATGTTTAGGGAAGTACCCACGCGGGAGCCTGTTCTACAAAGAAGCAGTTCTCGAGAAAATGTTGTAGCAGTTGATATAAGGGGTCCTTTTTGAAAAATACACATAAATATTAAATAATAAATATTACCTTAATTTTTCGAAAATAATACGCATTTTTTACTGTAAATTACAGGCTATAGTAGAGGGTGCGTATTATAAATAGGTTTAAACAAAATATTTTTTTCATTATTGATTTATAATAATAAATACGTACTTCTTGTTTTAAAATAAGAATGATATCCCAATTTTCATTTTAAATCCAATAATAATAATTTTAATATTTTTTGCCAATAAATTTATGTTTATCAGTAACCGCATTTTTTATTTGGCGAGAAAATAAAAAGGCCAATTTAAAAGAAAAGAGGATATAAAGTAAACAATTCATTGAAATTTTAATTTTCATTATCATCATCACTTTCTATTATAGAATCAATATCTAAATTATCATTAAACAAATTATCATTCATAATATTATCTTCGGCCTCATCATTCTCTTGTCAAAGGATGTCATATCTTCAGAGCCATCCATGGCTGTTGTGAGACAACATTTCTTGAAACTCCTCTTTATAACATCCCCACTGACGGAATCCCAAGATTCCTGAATCCATTTTACAATAACTTAGCCGCTTAGTGTCAATTTTATTCTTAATGTCAAGGTCGACAAAATGTCTTCGTAATTATTATTTTTTGACAAAATTTATAGATACGTATTATATATAGGGATAGATAGATTTCTTCATTTTTGAATCATTTGTTGTGGTGAGTATCATTTATGGGTGCGTATAGGAGGCATGGATACCGGCTCAGATTGATGAATCGGAGAGCCGAGTTCGAATTCCAGTCGAATTCATTACATTCACTTACGTGCTAATACCCTTGGGAAAGGTATGAACCCTCTTCTTGGATGGCAACTGGTCTACTGCAGAAACAAATGGCAGCCTACTGCGGCTACTAGAAATTCTGCCTCGTTAGTCATGTATCGAAAGGTACATGATCGCCTAAGTGTGTATCATGCATGGCACATAACTGATTATTTTTGAGAAATTACGGTATGTATTATCATATTATTATTATAGGAAATGAAAGCATTTACTAGCCTAGTGAAAGAACTTGTACATCAAGTAAATATTTAACTTCTATCAACATGTTAACCAAACCAGAATAATACGAGGTAAATGATTCTAACGTAATATTTGAAAAGATTTAACGATTTAACGTTACTTGAAATGATGAATAATTAATGATGCAGAGAATTCTATAGACATTGCCGGATTGTGAGATAGAGTTTTCATCTAACAGCTTCTAGTTACAGTCCATCATCGCTGATCGGATCTCGAACACGATGAACAGATATCCCCTCAGGAATGCACCGTGCCTTGAAAGATTATTCGGCCTTAAACTCCCACCTGACCTCAAGTGGAACTCGAACATCCAATCCATTGCAACAGGTGCAGGTAAAATGGTCGGCTCTAAGTACCTGACTCCTCATACTATCCATAACATTTACAAGAGTAAGATCAGGCCCAAAATGGAGTACTATTGTCAATTTGGATGGGAGCTGCTCAGGCGTTTCTCAAGTCTTGACAGAGCCCAAAAGCGTCTTGTGGATGACGATGTTTTCTCCACCGTCCAGTCTCTCTCACAGGCGGGATATAGCATGCCTCTTGCTGCTCTGTCGCTACTTCCACGGAAAGTGCTCGGCCGAACTACATTCCTTGGTTCCGTCAGTTCAAACCTTTACGGCAAGGGCACGCCATGTCATTTACATAGTAGCAAATTACACACATTCTCTTTGTATTCCATCGTTGAGAAGTAAGTTCCGTTCGAACAGCTTCTTCTCGAGAACCACTCTGTGGAACCGACTTCCTCGAGGATATTTTTCCGATCACCCCAAACTTAACCGTTTCAAATCTTGGGTTAACAGTTTCCCCCTCCCAACCATAAAAATTGTTTCTTAACGTAACCCAACCTCAAGTTGCCCCCTGACCATGTACAGGTGAACCTTACTATAAAAAAAATAAATAAATAAAAATAAAAAATAAAAGCAAAAAGTATTTAATACGGCCCTTCGAAAATGCAGTATTCGTAGCACTTGCAACGTATTTTGCTACTATGCCTATCCGGCACTGCGTAATCTGGCGTGTCCTAGCTCTAAAGGTCTGAACTGGTGTCGCTAAAGTATTCCGGTCATCTGAATGTAAGACATGGAAATAGCGGTAGAATAGCAAGAGGTTTGTAATGTTGTGTCTGAAAGGAAGCGGCTTCAGAGTGGAGACTAAAAAAAAATAATTAAAATATATATATATAGTTCTAGTGCAATCTATCACCTATGAGATCGTTGGGATGCCATGTTGAATAATCGTCTTTCATGGCATATCTCACGACAATGAGAACACTCTGGCAGTGCCTATCCTTTTCCCAAATAATAGGCTAAAGATTGTACTGCATTACAAAGTACCATCCGCAAAGATTAATCCATAAAATGACCTATTCTAGGAAATAACAGAGCAATGCCTCACGCCCCGCTGTACAAATTTCAATTCAGGGTAGACTTTCCTCTGGTTGTCAGCATACGGTCGAATCACGTTGAAACATCGGTTCTCGTACGATCACCGAAATTAAGCAACGTCGAGCCTGGTCAGTACCTAAATGGGTGACCGCTTGAATGTGCAGGTGGTGCAGTGAGTAACGACACAGAACTGGAAATCAGAGAGAAGAGTTCGAATTCCAGTCGGGTTCGTTATATTCACTTAAGCGGAAATACTCTTGGGAAAGACATGAATCCAACTCAGATATAGCTAATTTGTCGAATTTATTTAAGTAAATCATTATCATCTCCAAAATTCTTACAATTTTTAATAACATGCAAAAGGTTGATAAGCCGTAAAAAAAAACCCAAACAAATCAATCAATCTCGGTTGGTTGATTGTCACCAAAGTCTAGACAACTTAATCTACACTGCTATTTAACCCATAACTAGTGGTAGAAGGAAATAAAGAAAATGGGTTTTATGCCTTTTCCCCAGAGAGATTAGTGTGAAAATGTAAGTAACAGACTCGTTTAGAACTTGAATTCGGCTCGCCGATTCACTAGATGTATATCAAGTCATCGTAATCTTTGCAGGTGTATAACTAAATCTTAGGCGAACGCTATACAATTAGTCATGTGAATACATAGTCGTAAAATTTACAACTTAATTTTAGAGTTTTCCTAAAAGAAATAATCAACCACACTTTTCTCAGAGATGTCAAACGTTCAATGACAAATAAAGTTAAAGTTAATAATGTATTAACAAGATAATATCACAGAAGAGAACACATGGACATTATGCAGAGGACATCTGAAACGAGAGACAATTCCACATCATTAAATACAGCAATGGGAACGGCAGAGTAGTGATAGCTATGGTTATTTTCTAAACGTAGCTTAGATGTGGCACAAGGCCGAAGGTATGGGACACCCAGTGAAGATCGAACAAACTACTCAGTCGTAATTTTTCTAGCGAGATAAGCTTGTTAACCATTACACCACATCAAAGTGCCCTAAGTATCGATAGTTATGAATTAGGAACTCTGCCAGGAGATCGAGTACGACAATGTAGACACGCAGTGCCAGTCTAAACGGGATACTCTTCTGGAAAAGAAAACCTCAAAATATTTTGCAATTTTGACAGCCAGACTAACCACGGCATCCAAGCAAAAGACACGGTCTGCTTATGGTGAAAAATAAAAACAAATTAAGAGAAATTGCTAGATCATTGATGCGATTGTGAAAATTTTGATAAATATCAGAACCTTGCCTCAGAGCTGTTGGTAATTGTAATGGTGAGAATAGCTATTTTCATACAGGAAACGTTCGACATTCAATGACCGAACAGTCAAGTATTACTGTCGGTTGAAATTTATAAAAATAAATCTCTTAAAACATTTTTTCAAGAAAATAAGTTAACTCAAGTCAAGAGTTATCGCCCCTTTCTAGTACTCATGAGAATTTCCTTTCTAAACTTTTGCTTAAGGTAGTAGAAAGTCAACATAGTGATTATAGCATTATTTTGTCTCTGAGTTGCATGCGCTATCCATTTTAGGTGTTGGAAGTCTTCAAGTGATGCTGTTTATATTATTTGGTAAAAAATATTTGTGATTCTGTAGCGCCAGCCTATGAGATCTGATGAAGTCTTCTTTAAGATTTATAAGGTTCATTCGTTTGACGCTATTTTTAATCACAGATCCGAGAAAACAGTTTCATAAAGGTAACAGTCGTGGTTAGGAGACGCAAGTGGAACCGTACAAAATAGACTAGTTTAGATAAGTAACTTTTCTGAGAAAGGTCGGAAACTATAAAGATCATAGCGTTGCTGGGGGTCTGCGATGATGCTGAGAAGGGTGCTGGAGATTTTAAAACACTTGGTGTTACATACTTTTCAGCAATGAACACCAAGCACTTTATACATGCAAATGAATAATAATAATATCAGAGCTATCTATCGGTTGTGAAGAAGAATATGGCGATATCTTTCGCAATATTCATGTATCAGTATTGGAACCGATTCTATCACTGGTATTTTTTTTAACAATTTCAACCTTTTCTTGAATCTATAATTACTTTAATATAGCCTCTTGGGTACTGGGTTATATATAAGTTACAACTGTTACACTACTGAACAGATGCCGACACATGTATTATTATTTCCACTAGAATAAAGTAAAGGCAGTATAGCGACACTGGAAAGAAAAGGTTATTTACAAAGAGGTAAATTTGTTTAGTATAAAAGTTCATTACGATAGCTGACCATACAATGTAATTATACTGACATATAGACCGGAACAAAGGAAAGAGAGACAACGTTCCTACAGTTCGAGTGAATAATGTAGCGACTGTTCCCTTCAAAGAAAGCAAAGAGAAAACAACAATCATATTTTCTTAATCTGTAGTTCAGCATGTCTAGACATGTTCGCTCGGCGTGATGACTAGTTACGAAAAAAGATATGGCACGTCGATATAGTCGAAAGATTTCCCTTCTAAATCGATCAAGGGAGCTAACCATTATCTACTTGCCAACAACAGATAACTGATATTGGTAAAGGACCTATGAAGGAGTCAACAGACAAAAAGAGTTCAAGAGGTATTGAGTAGATTAAGGTCTTTAATCATCTGGTGTGAAACTAAGCATATTTCTTTAAAAGCCATTCATGACCTTACAGCCTCCATCAACCGAACTCTTGTAAAGACTCAAATGTAAACAGCTTCAGTAATATGTCTCGACATTAAGCTATATTAAGATGTCGAAACACTGTAAGCAATAATTCTGATCAGGAGGATCGATCAGGTAAAAAGAGTAAAAGATAAAGAGGATTTAGTGTCTATAGAGACAGACCTTGAAAGACATAACTGAGCGATACATAAGCGAAGCAGAAATAGCATAGAAATGACAAGAAACACTGTTTATCGGTCGACCCATTGTATTATCACCAGCTCTTAGACACTAATATCGTCCACATTTACTTCTGCTTGTAACCAAAGGCAGCGAACGAAGAGAACATAAGTGATCAGTAGTAAGAGGAATGAGGCGTGGGATGCCCGGAGGAGAGGTTACTTTGATGCTAAGATATTTATCTCTTGGGTTTGATGATCAAGTCATGTCAGTAACGCTGACAACTATTACTTCCAGGAACTATAACTAATGCGAGTTCTTATGCTTGAATTACTTGAAGACTGATTCAAAATGATTTAAACCGCCTTCTGCGTCTCATCATCCTTGCTGATTGCTTTCTTGCATCTGTCGTTGATTCGGGGTGAATGGAATCAAGGTTGGATATATCTTCTTGGTTAAAGCCCTGACTATAGAAAGTAGAGTTCTCATTTTTACATACGCAGGTGACCATAGAAGTGGTGGCAATAAATTAGAATATTTTAATTAGATATTTTAAAGTAAATGACCATACGTGTTGAATTAAAATACGTAAGTCATATTTTAATAGTTTCTTCTTTCAAGCTTAACTCCTGTGATACTCTCAGGCTGTTTGCTTTTCTGTCAACTACGATTTTCAAAAATTTAAATGCAACACCAATCGCCATTTTCTGTCTTCCTGAAAGCTGTTCTTTTATTGTCATTTTTAAGATTAAGTAAATATAATCTCCTTAATAGTCCTAGCATAATATGAATAGCATAAGGAAGTCATTAATAAAGAAATGACGAGAAACGATAACTAAGAGAACCATGCTTCCCGGCAAGGCTTGAGCAGGCGTAGTAAAAACAAAAAGCGGTGAAGGAGGTCAAGCAGTGTAGCAACAGGCTATAAGAATATTTAAAGATTTAAGTTTTAGTTTCAGGATTATCCTAGGAGATTAAAGCTTCGGTTTGTAGATTTAGTGGCATATATGTTCAATCCCTTGGCTGGATAGTACAATGACAGACATTGGAAACGGCATGAGCAATAACGGAGCTGTACTAAAAATGAACAAGAAATCCAGAGTTATGGACAACGTTAGCTAAAGACTAGCTCCTTTATACCTACCCCCATAATATCTTTGTCTATCGGGTAGCTATCGAGTTCTATTTAAGAGTACTTAGAATTGCCAGGCCTCAATATTTACATGATGAAATTGTAAATACTTTTAAACTTCCACAATAACCTAATTATTTAATAATAGCTTAAAAGCCGCAATCCAGGCGGACTTTTAAGTTAGCCCAAAACTCAAGAGACTTCTGACCCAACTTAGAAAACAGCAATGATAATTTTGAAGAAATAGCTTTGAATTCCTCAATTCACTCTATGGAACTTCAAACCTCACTGATTCGTGCTAAAAGTTCGATTCCGAAAGACCGATTTGAGCCGAAAGCCCAATACATCAAACTGCGGAACTTCAAAACCTCATGTCACGAAACCTCTCAATTTAATAATGTGATATATATGTACTAGCTTAAAATCTGCACTTCATGCGGTCTTTTAAGGTAGCTTCTGCGTAGGGTTAGTTGGGTCTCCAGTCTAAAAATAAAGGGGGCCCTGGTCCAGCTTAGAAAATAGCATTGATAATTTTGAAGAAATAACTTTGAATTCCTCAATTCAATCCATGAAACTTCAAAACCTCACTTTAAATCGGGCTATAAATCCAATTCCGGTCATATGACATATTTGGCCAGAAAGTTCGATTTGGGCTAAAATTCCAATTCAGGTCGAAAATTGAGTGCCTCAAATCTCAAATTCTGTGGAACTTCAATTGAGTTGAGTACTTCGAATCACAAACTCTGCGGAATTTCAAAACTTCGCACCATGAAAGCTCTCACTTTAAAACTGTTTCCTTGGCATTTTGAAGAAATAAAATTGATTTCCTCAATTCAAAATTTTGGAGATATTTTAAAATGAAACCTCTCACTTTAAAACTCTTTCCTTGGCATTTTGAAGAAATAAAATTGATTTCCTCAATTCAAAGTTTTGGAGATATTTTAAAAGAAATTGAAAACAAAACAAAAAATTAATAAATTCAAAATTTTTGTGTTACTTTAAACACAATCTAAATTTTAAAAGAATCTTTTGAAATCACTAATTCTTTCAGCTATTTTAAAGTTTGATCTTCTCATCCGGAAACAAATCCCAATGCTGGATGTTCAAGCATCAGATAAAGGGAATATTTTCAATTCCGGGATCAATCTGTTTCCAAAAAGGTATAATATGCCTATGGAG